CACTGCCTATGCCAAGTGCCAACTTTGAAGTTTTGGAGAACAATTTTGAACTTTTGAAAATGTAGTCCTTGTATTATAGATATGAGAGTTGGATGGTTGGCGTAAAAAAATAATGTTCGCCAAAAAATTTATAGATATTAAAGATATTACTTGAATTAATTATTTATAAAAAATACATATTAATTTTTCAAAATACATTTTTAATTATTTGTGTCGAGAACCAAGATAAAGACGATAGAAGTGTTATATTCGGAGGAAGCAAAAACGACGTGCGAAATTGCGGATGTCTTTTCATAGACGACAAATATGACAGGACAGTTTCATAATATTAACTGCGATTTTCAATATAAATATTAGTGTAACTTTTTATTTAGTTTTAAATATAAAATTTTAATTTATTTTTTATATTTATTTTTTTAAAGTAGTTCTTGTAGTAGTTGTATATGTTAAAGATTTTATCAAATAGTGGTTTTAACTAATATATATGATTAATAAAAATATTTTAGAAAAGACAATATTTATTTATTTTAAATAACTAATTTAACTAATTTTTTAAATCTTTTTAAATTAATTAACTGGATTTTATATTAAAAACAAGAGATATTGAGAAACAAATGCACGACAAGGATGCCGCGGGATACGCACTCTTATAGGGGAACATGTGTTAAAGTTGCTCATAAAGAAATGGCAGTGCATCTCTTGGCTTAGCGGCTGGAGTTGAATTTTCAAGCCATCGGCATCTCATGATAGTGTGCGATTGACGCAAGAGGTGATAATTGAAAACTATTGTAATTGCTGCTCTTGCCCACTGTCCATTTGAAGGTAAGATGCTTCCTCCATATTTTTTTATAATCAACAACTATTATTTTTTTATCTCTAAATATAAATAATATTTATAAGTTGTTTTAAATTTTCATAGTAAATTTCTTATTTTTTCCTCATTAATTACTTATTTTAATACGTAATATATTTATTATCTTATTTTTTAAACTATCATATCTTTGTATTCACATTCTCTCTTTTTCATAATTCTCTTTATTAGAATGACTTTCTTATTATTTTTCTTATACTCTCCATCTCTCCCATAAATAAAGTATTTTGAAAAAAAAATCTAATTTTTACATATTTATTGTTTTTAACTAACTTTTTAATCTATATGAAATATGATGGAGTCCAAAGTTATGTATAAAAAAGGATAGAGGGAGTATTTACCATAGGTTTTTTTTGTTGTAGCTTTTTTTTTTAAAAAAAATTATTGTGGAGAATAAATGGGTCATTTAATAATATTTTTGGTATATTTTTATAAAACATAACTTCATTTGTCCTATTTATAAGGTAGAGGGAATATTTTTTTCATCTTATCTATAAGTGATGTCATTAAATTTTTAATATAAATATGTTGTAATCTTGGTTATTTATTATTATATAGATTGTTTTTTTTTTTGAAAAGTGTATACATTAAATGAGAGTAAAGTTAAAAAATTATTAAATTTTAAAGTAGAATTAATAAAATTTAAGATTTTTATTAGTTACTATAAAATATATTAAAAGTGATTTATAAATAAGAATAAATGAAAATATCATCTCAACACACATCATACCAAATAGACCAATGACTCAAAAAATAATTTTAAAAAGTACTTTCATGTAATTAAACACAAAACTCTTGTTACATGTTTAATTCTTATACCGTAATTTTGTTTTCACTCAATTATCTCCTCTGCTGAATTGAATTCTCGATTTGACGACATTCCACGTCTCCTCTCATCACCATCAAAAAACAGTGCGAGTTAGATAACTAGGGTGATCAAATAGGGGCGTGCGAGTTACGCCGGCGTGCATGTTTTTTCCCTCATGCTGGGCGGGGAATAAATTGTTAAATTAAAAAAAAAGAATTCTATTAAAAAATGACACAAAAATAATACTTGAACTTGAAAATATCACAAGTGGCTAATTTGACATTTATAAACTTACTGAAATGATTATATTGCCCTTCATTTTATTTATTGTTTTTTGAAAAACCAAAGCTCCCACTAGCCAGCCAGTCACTGGAGCTCCGGTGCCAGCGGCGACGATTGACACTGGAGGTTCGATCAGCCAAAAATTGGTCGTTAGAGCTCTGGTAGTCGGAAACAATTTTTAATTTTTGAATATATTTACAATTTCAATATAATAGTTAACAACTTTTGTAACACTGTTAATAACTTTAATATAGCAGTTAACAACAGGTTTTTAAGAAAATTCAAGAAGTAACATTTTTATTACTTCAGTAATGGCGTTAACAAATTCCGTAACTCTATTAACAATTTCGGTATAACATTTAACAACAGGCTTTCTTAAAAATTCAAAAAAAGGCATTTTTTTCAACTTTAGCAACTACTTTTTTTAAAAAATTTTTTTACAATTTTAGTATAACGGTTAATAACTTTTGTAACTTTATTAACAATTTTAATATAGCGGTTAACAACAGGTTTTTGAATTTGTCAATGAAGTTGTAAAAATGTTACTTTTTGAATTTTTTTTAAAAACCTGTTGTTAACTACTATATTGAAAATGCTAATAACATTACAAAATTTGTTAACCGTTTTATTGAAGTTGTAAAAATTTTCAAAAACAAGTAGTTGCTAAAGTTGTAAAAATACCATTTTTTTTGAATTTTTAAAAAAAACCTGTTGTTAAATATTATGCTGAAGTCTTTAATAAAGTTACGAATGACATTACTGAAGTTGTAAAAATGCTACTTTTTTATTTTTCTTGAAAACATGTTGTTAACTGTTATATTGAAGTTGTTAATAGTATTACAAAACTTGTTAAATGTTATACTGAAGTTGTAAAAATATTTTTTTTAAAAAAAAGTAGTTGCTAAAGTTGTAAAAATGCTATTTTTTTAATTTTAAAGAAAATATGTTATTAAATACTATACCGAAGTTGTTAATAGAGTTACGGAACTTGTTAACGGTATTATTGAAGTTGTAAAAATACTAATTTTTGAATTTTCTGAAAAATCTGTTGTTAACTGCTATATTAAAATTATTAATAACGTTACAAAAGTTGTTAACCGTTATATTGAAGTTGTAAAAATTTTCAAAAAAAATTGTTTTTGGCTGCCGGAGCTCTCGGTGACTAATTATCGGCCAGCCACCGGAGCTCCGATGACGGGCGCCGTTGCTGGCACCAAAAATTCAGTAACCGGCCGGCTAGTGAGAGATTTGGTTTTTTAAAAAATAATAAATAAAATGAAGGGTAATATGATCATTTCAGCAAATTTATAAATATCGAATTGGTCACTTGTGACTAAATTGGAATTTTGCAAATTCAAATAACCATTTTGGCATTTCTAAGTTCAAGTATCATTTTTATGTCATTTTCCCAATTATATTCAATCATATTCTTGTTCGGAGTGTCATTGAACAAAATAAGCCCTAAATGTATTCTCTATATATTTTTTGGGCAATAATAAAATTTATGAGATCAATATCTTTAAAATCTCTTCTCTCACAAGGCAAATTTTCCTTTTTCTTTTAAACATAAAAACAATTTTTCCTTTAAATTAAATCTTGTGATAATTAAAGAAAATAAAAATTATCCGTTCATTTTGGCTTGATGCGACGTTGTTCTTCTTCTTGTACACCTTTCTGTTGAGATTAAGAGGAGCCTTACAACCCCATGCATTATGACCCCTTTTTTTTCGCAATTACTACACTTTGTGTTAGCTCCTTTTTTTGCTTATTTTTCATGGGTTTTGTTGCTCATTTGGAGCTTTTTTCCTTGCTTTTCTTGGTCTTCCAGGTGCCCTATTGTATTTTGGTGGTTGCAAGGGAACCATAGTTGATTGTGGCCAATGTTCTTCACTTGCCACTGCACCAATTACTGAAGCATAAGCTCTCATGAATGAATCTTTATTATAATAAGTAGAAACATAATCTTTAGGTACCCCTCTCATTTGATAAATTACAGCCATAACATGTCTATAAGGGATGCCAGTCAAATCCCCAGCCTTATATGTAGAAGTCATCATCTTAAGATCTACCACCTTCCTTTTCCATGAACTCTCTATCTCAAATCTCTCATCAGCAGAGCCATCAAAATGGATGGGCTCAACATGTTTAAGCCTCTTTAAGTGAAAGTCCAAGAGCCAACCCTTTTAAGCCCAGTTATTTTTTTTAATTATCAATATGTTGATATAATTATTTATTTGTCTTTTATGGAAGTCTGAACTAGAAAATTATTTTAAAGAATCAATATTTAATCTATATAATTGAAAAAAAGTAGATGTCTTGAACTTGTGAGAGGACAATTAAAATTTCCAATTCTTTCAAGGATGGAAGTTAATATTTTTAGCATTTCAATTACTATAGTAGCTAATAAGCTTTCTTTATCATTAGTTCATATGTTTTAACAAAATATAAAAATTCTCTTATTCTAATAAATGCTTAGACTCTCATTTGTACTCATAAATGCTTCATAGTTTTACTTTAGATAAAGGTGATGAAAATAAAAACCTTGATATTTTTAGAACTAAAGAAGAGCCCACTTTTAGTAAAGAACAATCAAATATTGTTGATCTTGATGATGGTGATGAAGATGAAAATAATAATCATGTTGATATTGTTAATATGTAGTTACTTAGTTTTTATCTTTCTACTTTTCCTATTTTATTTTATTTCCTAGTTTGGATAATAATCCATTAATGTTTGATGTTTTAGTCTGTGCATTATTAGTTTATTTTACTAATATTATAATTCGAATAAAATTTTTTAGATCTTTTATTTTTTATTTTTTATTTCAAAATAATTGAAAAAAATTTAAATTTTAAAAAATAACATAAAAGGATTGGCCTTTTTAGGCCATAAGCCCACACTTCTCAAGACCGCATTTTAATAATATGATAATTTTAAGATATGTGAGTTTTAAAGGGCTGGTTTTTTTAGGCCTGGCCTTTCAAGGGCTAGCCTTTTATGGCCCACTTGGCCCTTATTGATAGTTCTACCCATCACTAGTCATATAACATGTATAATTATTCGAGTTGTTCTTTGCTCTTTAAAGTTTATCCATGATTTAAAGACTCATCGCATTACGAGATCTCTCCATGCCCTCTCTCTGCAATCATTCTCTTTATTAACATCCTTCTAATTATTTTACATATTGTGATGATGGATTGTCTCTTGTAGCCAATATAAAAGAGTTGAATGTCTCTGCAATATTGTTTTGTACAATGTTACATTTGGCATTTATTGAGAATGTATGCTTACTCCAAAGCCTTGGGTCATACTTATCTAACCAATTAGCAGCATTAGCATCAAGCTCCTTTAATTGTTTTATATGATGGTTGAATTCTTATTTATTTATTTATTTCCCTACATGCATTTCAATGCTCATCTTTCAAATTCTTTCCCTTATATTTGAGCTTGAAATTGGCATATAAATGCCTAACACAAAACTTATGCTCATATTCCATCACCTCAAACACCTCTTGTAACCCCTACAAATTAATTAAAAATATCTATGACTATTGAACAATTAATCAATTATTATTAGCAAAAAATAGAAATACATTAAATATCTCTATAGACATTATACCTTTTTCATATCTAACATTACGACCCACCTTTTATCTTGGCATGAGCCAATATCCTCAAATAGCAAGGTCATAAACTAGTTCCAACTATCCTTGCACTCAAATTCCACAATGGCATATGCTATAGAACACATATTCTCATTTGCATCTTTTTCAACTACAAATAGAAGGCGCCCTCCAGACCTACCTTTTAAGAAACAACAATCTACACGTATGATTGGCTTACATGCTGTTACAAACCCATGTTTACACAAAGACACATATATAATCGCTTAAATATAGACCCTTATGCCTTGACCCTCATTGTACCTCTTGGGTTAAATTTCATTTTTGCCCCCACAAAATGGATATATTTGGGAAAATTGTTCAGCATCTCGACCATCAAGCACTTCTAATGCTATTCTTTTTGCTTGATATGCTTGAAAATTTGAAATTTCAATATTATGATCCCTCGCACTTGATTTGAAAATGCTATTGCGCTCCAATTTGGTTGGTCTTTAATGTGATTAATGTACCTATTTGACAACCAACTTGTACTCACCCATTTATTTTTTCTTCCCCAACTGCAATTGTGCTTTTTTTAGTGAAATGACTTAATTTGAAATGCACCTCCAGCATGAGTTTTTGATGCATGTATAATCCATCTATAATTGTGCTTACACTTCACCCTAATTCTTGATGCTTCATTTTCTATGTACTTGAACTCAATGTCATTCTCAATGGTATATTGCTTTAATGCTTGCCTATAAACTTTGAAGTTTGCAAACTTCATACCAACTTGAAGATTGATTAGTCTTTTAAAACCTATCTTCTCATTAAACTCACTGTATTATTGTCTTTCTATTTGTTGGCCTTCATTATCTGATCCATTTGGACTTGCCAATTCCTCACTGTCATCATAATTAGACTGTGCTTGCCCATCCCAATCACATCCATGTTCATTGACTACAATAGGTGTTGGGACGATGTTATCAATATTTGGTCCATTTTGTGCATTTTCATTCCTTGTACCTCTACTCATGGATTCCCCTAATTGATTATCATGCAACCATTGATTAACTTCTACCTCTATTCCTCTATCAAAGATTTTCAAGAAATAAATCTACCTGCTAATCATTATTACTATCAAAAATTCACATCCATTCAAATCAATTTGGATGTTTAACTCCTCCTCTTCAACTCTTAGTCTCTTCTCAAGTATTGGAGTTTCTTGTCTATTAACCTTATTCTTTTTTGTGGTTGTTCTTAACATTCCAATAACCTAACATAAATAAAAACATATATATTAAAAAAAACATCTCATATCAAATAAAGATGAAAAAGATAATTTAATACTCCTCTAATCCTCAATATAGAACCTAATTGTAGAGTTGATTTTGATCCTAAATATAAGACGTGTTTCTTATATGTATCAATTTTTTTTCCAAATCACTCCTATTGATACTCCTTCAATCATAATCAAGTATGATAGGAAGGGAAGATATAATTAAGATAATTAAAATACTTTAAGAAAACATGTCATATTTATTATAGTTAACTAACTTACTTAACTTTCTTAATCTAATCAAATTAGTTAAATAGTTCTTATATTAAAGACCGGAGGAATATAATGAAAAAATGAAAAATTGGGTATAAATTCCTTCTTGTGAGCATCAATGGCTGGTTCTGTATAAAAATTTTCCTTGTTTCTCTCATCCTTTACCACTACCATCACAGGCCTAATTTGATCTAATAAATATCATTTGTGCAGCACATTTACTATTTGTCTATTTGATCTCACTGTATTTGTAACATTGTAGATGCACTCATCTTGCTAGAAAGTTTCAGATTTGTGTACTCATGTTATCCAAGTGTCACTCACACACACACACACTCTTGCTTACATAAACAAAAAATCAGGCAAATTCTCCAGCGAGTTTAATCAAATATAGATAAGATGCAAGGCATGAGTTCTAAGTCAGTCAAGGGGCAGAGAAAAGATTTAAGGAGATTTATTTAATTATTTAATTGTATAATAGATAAGATAGATTATTACTTTTCGAAACAGAACATCATAGTAAAAAATGATTGCGAACAATCCATCATCTAAAATTTAAGAGACGAGCATAGCAAATGATAAAAAAGACACATATCACTATCCTTTCTTTGTAGTTTCATTGAAAAGAAAAATAGCCCAACAAGAATGAGAACACAGAAACAATCAAAGCATTGATGAAGGAAAAAATTACCAAGTTTGGCCTTGACTACAGCACAAAGAACCTACAAAACACATCCTAAATAATACCCAAATATAAGGAAGTGCTTACCGACACTTTTGTTCAATGAATTCGCCTTGAAGATTATTCTTTGCAATAGTGCTGCAAAGAATATGAGGTTGGGTTTTCCAGCAAATATTGTTTTGTAGGGGATTGATAGGAAAATATTCATATTTGTGCAATTGTCATGAAGATGATGCATTTGTGTGAAAATCTCAGAATTATATAGATAATGAGGGAGCTGTTTTGGAACGATGCCATTTAAGCTGGATATTAAAGCTCCCCATGTTTTTCTCCATCGTCTTCCTCCATAGAAAAAGTGTGTACTGGTGACTCCTATGCTTCACTTCCATGCAAGGCCGCTGATGTTTCATGTGCCCTAAGGAAATGTGCCGACAAGGAGGCAGACTTGCAAGACAAAAAGAGACGATAACACAATAAGTAAACGAACAAGCTCAAAATTATGAAAAGAAGTTCAAGAAGAAAGATGGTAATGAAGATGATTTTTGAAACAATAAAGATGATTAACAATGAATCAAATGTTGGGAAGAGAGAGGACTTGCGAGTTGCAGAATTACAAGAGGTTGAGAAAACAAGACAAAATTACAAGAGGCTGAGAAAACAAGACAATAACAGAACCTCAAGCTAGGGATTATTATAGGTTAAACCACTAAAATGCCATTTACTATAATTCTGAGTTTTAACCTGAAATAAATATAAGATTATCAAAATTACATGTCATTTGCCACATAATTTTTAATAAACTTACATGGCACTCACTCCGTTAGATTTAACGGCTATTTTAACGATATGAGACTTATAGTTAAAATTTGAAAGTTGAGGGTGTGTAATTTAAACTTTTAAAGTTGAAGAGGTCTTATGTAACTAGCCTAAAGTTGACGGGAGTTATATGTATTTTGGCCTCTTTTTTGAAAACATTTAAACTTCATTAGCATGTGAAAAAAAAGACTAAAAGAATAGAAACATGCAATGTAGTAAGCCCTTCCTATTGACTTTTTAAAGCTTGTATTGCTGGTGCTTTAGTTAACATTTCCTTGTTAACAATAACATTATACTATTATCTGTAATCACCACAATTAAAATGATTTATTGATTTGATCAATTATTCCCCCAAAAATCCAAACAAAGAAGGCTTTAGGCCAAACCTCACTATTAAACCGTTGGTTGTTATTAAATAAAAATTAAAGTAGTGTACAGCAATAAAGGCAGAGTTGTGGGGTGTCCTCACAGGGTTGCAGCTGACAACTAAACTTGGTATACAATATTTGATTGTTGAATGTGATTCTGCTGCTGTTGTAAAAATTTTAGAAAACATTATAGTTAGCTCTGATATAGATTCTGCTTTGTTAAAGCTTGTGAAAGCTGAATTGATTAAGCTAGCACAAGTTAAGATCTAGCATGTATATAGAGAAGCAAACTATAGTGCTGACTGTCTAGCTAAGTTTAGTTTTAGTATTGACAGGGTGCTGAAGGTTTTTGACAAGCCTCCCCAACAGGTATCAGGTTGCTTGTACAATGACTTTGTGGGTGTTGCCTTCCCACGTTCAATTTTGATGCAATAAGATAGGCTAAATGCCTCGTACTATTCACCAAAAAAAAATTAAAGTAGTTGGCGAAAAAATTAAAATAATAAAATGCACTAAAATTTTTAAATAAGGTACAGATACAAATTAATTGCTCTATCTATCATGGATTATATTCATGATACATTGTATCTCCATTATTGACTCTAAATTGGGTTCCAAAAGTTAGCCCAAAACACATTCATGGCTTGTTAATATAGGGCTTCCTATTTCCTAACTTAGTAATGTGGCCTCTTTTATGTTTTAACATAAATGGTTAATATTGATTATTATAAATAAAAGAAGCGTAGCCATCAAATTCAAACTATCAGAAATAAATACAATATTTATTGATGAGAGAAAAATGTCAAACTTTGCAAGCACGTTTTCTTGTTGGACTCTATCACAAAAACAGGGCCACCGCTTTTATTCTCGATAATATTTCCCACTTTTTCTATGAAAAGGAATATTCCCATGTGATCTATATTATTGAATACATAATTGACTTGTCACAATAAAAATTACCAAAATTTCCATTTATGAGGGAAAAATTGAATTGTTGCTTCATTCAGGATAATCTTAACAGTTTCTCTTCTTTTTTCT